CTGAGGCCGAGTACCTTTCGACAAGATTTGGCAGCGCTCCACGTCTTCTTCGTTGAGGCGCCATTGAGCAAGCGCCGCGTCAGCCTCTGAATCGCGGGCCCACGTCTGCGTCTCGTCGAGTCCTGCGGACGTCTGCGTCCGGTAGTTGGTGTTGGCTGTTGTCGTCTTGCTGGCGCGGTTCCGTCGGTAGCGATAGACAACAAAAGCGATCCCGAGGAGCAGCACCTGGACGTTCCATGAGAGCCCGTGACGCACTAGTCGAGGGAACGCACCACGCCACCGACAGAGAGGCCAACGATCAAGCCGATCGGCGTCGGTGTCACAGCGTCGCTCACGGTGATCGTGCGGTACACGGCAAAGTCGAATCGTTCCGACGTTGTGTCGCCCGGAAGTGCAATGTGGGCAAAGATGATAAACGAGCCAGCCCGCGGAAATGAGAGCTCTAGGGAACGATGACAAAGCGAGCCGAGGATCGAAGCCGGTACCGTTTGTCGAGTACGTGGCCGAGTAGTTGGCGCTAAAGTTGGCGAGCGTGTTGGACGTGTGGTCGCGGACGTAGACGCCATTGTCGTACGCGTTGCAGACATTGTCGGCGTACGCGCACGAGTGGATGTTCGAGTGGTAAATCTGGTAGACGTCACGCGACGCCGGGCTCTGCATGACGGGGAATGGCAGCGTGAGGCCTACCTCGCCTCCTCAGTCGTATGTCGAAGCGTCGAGATGCGTACCAATGCTGTTGGTCGTGATCGTTTTTGGGTCGTACGAGACCGTCCAGGTCACGGGCACGGCTTGGCCGACCCTACGTGCCCGTACATGAGCAAGAGGCCTGACATGTAGACCTACGAGATGGTTGCCGGTGCGGTAAAGGTCATCTGCAGGCCGCAGTTGAGCGCTTCGGCCGTTGCTTCGTTCTTGGCTGAGCTCAGCGTGGTCAGTGTCACGGACTGGCCCGTGCGCCAGCAGTAGACGTAGCGGCCATCCATGATCGGGACTACGCACTAGCATCAGCGCAAGCAGCAGAGAGCATTGCTCGTCGTACGCGAGCCGAGGCCATGGACGGCGACCGCGAGGCAGGCGGCCATGACGGCAAGGACCGAGGTTCGCATGCTGCAGGTTGCAATTCTTGGACTGCGACCAAGATACAACGGGCAGCTCGCCTTTTTGGCCAATCAGCGTCGTGCAGCGTATCTTGTCCGGATGTGAGCCAATCACATGCAAGATACGTGCAACCGTGTCATCCGAGGTGTTGCCGTTTGGTGCATTGGGACGGCACAAGACAATATTCGTAGGAGGCTGTGGACGCTGGACGTGGTGTTGATATACTAGTACTAGTACAATGCATGTGAAGATAATGAGTGTATAGTTTTTCGTCTCTGAATTGAAGAAAACAAAGTTTTCGGTATAAATGGTGTCGTGGGATTGAATTTTCGACGTGCTGAACGGAAATCCCGCCAAAACAAGTAAGGACAACGAATCATTTCACGCCCAATGACCTCACACGAGGCGCTGTTTGTGTGGAGATGGCGTACATGTGATACTGGTAGATCCACACAGCAACGGACCACCGACTTGACGCACACTAGCTCGATTCACGAGCTCTTTCGGCTGATCAAGATTCTCAAAATTTGATGGTACCTCGACACAGGTTGGATGCGCATAGTAGATTCCATGAGTGCATTTATTCCTGCCAATATCTCTTTGTGGTGTGGTTGAACATCTGTGGTGGAGCTTGGGGAATGGAAACGTAATGTCGATCAAAGTGAAACATATGTCGTTGATCTTCGCAGTTTGGGATCGTTTCGAGGGTCGACTGCATTGTTTTTAGTACTATCGCAAGGGGATCGCCCGTTTGTCTGACTTCATCGCGATATTTTCTTGTGGCAACCCAAATGTCAACAAGTATGTCCTTCTAGTCTTGCATGTTCTCGGATTCCGAGATCTTAAGCAGCCCAAGACCCACCAAGAATGCGAGAACCTCGACTCTAGATACACAGCCTGCTGCGGTGATACCTCTGCTCTATTAATCCTTGAGATCACAAACACAACACAATTTTTCTTGTAAATGGATTCTGGCAGTCGTCAAGCTTGTGGGGCGCGATTGCAGTGTGGAAGCGTCCGTGTATTTAGGGCGCGTGGGGGTGGGTACTTCTCGAGATGGGTCGACCCGCTTCCGTTTGTAAAAACGAATTTGGAGGCGGGACAACGGCGCTCGCGGTCAACGACGTGCTCAGCTGCACGGGCAGCCACCCGAACGCACGCATGTTGGCCAGAAACGACTCGGGTGGTGCATACGGCCCTTGCGGCGGGACCCACGCGACGATCGCCGGCGACGGCAAGTGCGCACGCAAAGGTTCTGCGCGATGATGCGTGGTCGCGGGGCGGCGGCCAGGGACGCTACTAGGGCGAGCTGCTGATCGTTCTCGGTGCGCACAGTTCGCGACGGCGTCATTGACGGCGGTGGTCCAGGCATGAGCGGCACGAGCACGGGCCCGCGCTGCCTCGGCAAGCTCGGTTAGCGACCCCATCGTCCCCAGTTGCCGGATGGCTGGGCGCGGCGCTATGGACACCCGAACGTCTGTGCGGCTGAGCGGGTCGTCCGCTGGGCCCTGAACGCTTGTTGAAAGCGGGGTACTCGCCAGACCTTGGGTGCTCGCTGGACTCGGAATACTCACAGAGCCCTGAGCACTCGCTGGACCTTGGGCTGCCACGGAGACTTGACCTGTAGCTGGACTCGGATTGCCAGTTGGACCTGGGGTACATCCTGGGCCGTGCGCGCTCACAGGACCCGGTGTACTACGTGGACTAGGACCACTCTCTGAACCCGGAGGACTCGCTGGCGCTTGGACAGTCGCTGGACTCTGAGTGCGTGCTGGATCAAGAGCGTGCGCTGGACTCTGGACAGTTGCTGGACTTTGGGTGCTCGCTGGAGCGTGGGTAACGTCGAGTGTGTTGACGATGTGTTCTATCGGAAGTTGCAGCTCGACGTTGGCGAGCGGCGTGTCATTGCCTACGCAGCCTTGAGCTTTCTCGCAGAATCCTGCAAAGACGTACGTTCTGCTTCGCTTCGCACGGTGGTGGTCATTCGATCTACAAGGCGGTGTGGATGAAGATGGTGCACAAGAGCAAGCGCACCAATGTGTAGAAGCTGCTTGTAGCATTTGTTGCAGTGCCAGCCCAGCACTGGGTGGCGCTTCCGTCCCGCACGACCCACTTTGTTGAGGAGCATTTTACACGGCACGCCGTCCGGCCGAGGTGCACCGGGGCACTTGATTGGCACTGGGATTGGCATTGCTTTCTACTCGCTCCCGTCGCCTTCCGCGCGCCCCGAGCGCCACGTACCTTCATCCGCTCCGTCGGCAGAGCGTGGTCGGCCGGTCCAATTTTGCGCAAATGCACTGCCAACGAGCTTATCCGGACGATCGACGCCGATTGGCTCAGGAATGCTGGTCATGATGCCGATCATCCGGATGATCGATGGAGGATCGCCAGGCTTGGAGATTGAGGGAGATGGCCTGGATACGAGACCACGATATCCTTTGTGCGTTACGAAGAGAGCGTCCACTAGTCTGATCTTCTTTCCTTTCGATGTGGAGAACATGTCTACTACGCAAAGGCAAGATCTTAGTGCACTTCGAAATACGGGCCAAATTCGAATCAAGTGTTGCCAGCATGTGGCGTGCCATCGCCGTCATCGTCCTAGCCGCGGTGCGCGCCTACGAGGCGCCGTGCGGCGTGAATGAGATACCATTTGGCTCGGGCGATCCCTTCAACCGCAGCGTCACGTGCGAGCGTATACTTGACGTGTACAGTGCGGGCCTGGCCTTTCTCGAGTCCAACTTGGGTCTGTCCGATCGGCTCAACAAGGCGACGCTTGGCTTTGGATCCGACCACAACGGCGTGGCAGCACTTGGCGCCAACCTCTCGGTGCACACCAAGGGCGAGAGCTACTTCTCGGCACTCGTACCGCGTCGTCTCTTCTTCGAGTACGTGCTGCCGCATGCCGTGACGAACGAAGGCCGGAGCCATTGGCGTCCGCTCTTCGCACGAGTCGTTCACCGCCTCCTCGCATCGGCGAGTTCGACGTGGC